ACCCCTTAGACTAGTTTTGATCTTAGCGTTCTAATCGCAATCAGAGGTCTTTTGAAACAACTTGAAAAATAGGCCCACCTGGAACGGCTTTGTTTTTGTACATACGCCATTTTTTCTTGTTATTTCATTACCTGAACTCTTCATTCTAGGAAGCATGTGAGCATGAAGATTATCCCCGAACACCCGAAAATCCAAATGTGCTGCCCCATCCAAAATTCCGAAAATTCCCTGGCTTCATTAAATTGCAATATTTTGTGCATTTTCTCTCGAACACTATGGTCAGAACCACATGTTAAGCTGGGGAAAATGTGGGTTCTATTTGCTGAATCAAGGATATATTTACTAGCGCAACTTGTACTCACCCTAACTAGGGTGTCAGTTCCTAACGCTTGAGCAACTATATGATGTCTTCCATCATTTCTGCGGTAAATAGTTTCCCTGTTACCTTGAAGTCCTTGATGTTTGCGCAAGAGACTACTGGTACAAATATGTCCCGCGGTGTGCGTTAGCCAACTATGTTGGGTGGACAAACGGCACTGAGGATATCTAGTAGGTTAGCTGACTTGTTTTATCAAAGGTTCAGAAGAAATACTTTTCCGCTTCAATACTTTGCTGTGCGAGATTTGTAACTGCAACAGACAGAACAGGGCTTTTGCACAAACAACACTCCTATGTGGCCACTTAAGGTGTCATTGTTTCACCGTGTTTAGACTGACATCAAGATGATCTGTAAGTGCTGGTTTCTATTCAGGTTCATTTAATTGTCACGGTCGACCAGTGGAATGACGACAAAGCACTGCGTGGGACTGAAAAATCGAATTTCCGGAAATTGACAGACATTGCCTAGTAAGACTCAGGAATGGGAGCACCCTCTATCCGCGCAAAGCACGTGATTTTGTAAAAGTTCGAGATAAGCTAAAGATTGGCGTGGGCTTGCGCTGAACCTAAAAGTAACCATAACGTCAACCCGAATTGTCCTAGAATTAGGCGCAATCCTGGCGGAATATGGTGGGTTCCTGTTTTTGTGTCGTGCTCTTCATGCATTCTTCGCATTCTAAAAATGTCCAGAGAGTGCAGCTGGCCCATCTGGAGTGAAACGATATTTCGGCTTTGAGAAGATGAGAGCATTTTTATCCGTGTAAATCAAGGATACAAATGGTCGTAAGGGAACATTTTGTTAAAGAACACAAGTCAGACGCGAGAGGTGTACGTGCTCATCGTACATGGTGTAGACATAGATCGATCAGGTAGATCAGAAGGATGCCAATGATCTGCAGATTATAGCGGCACTGCTTAAACGTGAGACAGATCGATGTGGCCTCTGGCTGAGTCATCAACTGGGTGCAGGGTCCTCTTCCGTTGGCGCGCAATCCGACCTCTGGACTTTGACAAAGAGCGTCTAATGGTCGAAAGGGAGCTCGTGCTCTGAAAAAGATCAGTTAACTGCCAACAGAGACAGCTCATCTGCTCGACCAACGGCAGACAGTCTAAGCTAGACTGGTGTGATGGTTTACTGACTTAACCGACTTTGCCGCGATTGTGCTCAACATACAAGTACAGAACAAGTGACCAAATTCAAATATTTATTTTCTTTTATCATCTTCTTTCTTGCAACCGTCCAAGAATCAGCTTCTAAACTCACCTACACTCAGACAACGGGTTTCACAAAGATACTGGTTCCAGAAATATACCGGAAAACGGAATCACACAATCATTAAATGTAACACCGCGGTGAATTCTTTTTCAAATATGCCCAGTTAGCAAATGCATGAGCCCTTGAAATGACCATGACCTTCCATGCGGATACTTGATGTCTTTTAGCGGCTTTCCTCAGTAATTTATCTGAGAGGTTGATAAATGTGAGTTGGGTAATATGGATTGCGAAGGGCTTCCAAGGTTTGTAGAAGAGGAGGTTAACTTCGGCAATTGCGCTGACGTTGAATACGTTTAGTTCCAATGTCTCCAAGTGCGTGTATGTCTCAACAAAGGGATTTGCCGTTCTCTTAAAAAATATAGTGGCGGCAGATAAAGTGATCTCACAGGAAAACTGTTCGAATCCACCTTGAGGGACGCTTTTCTTGAAAACGCAGTCGTCAGAATATCCGGGGCTGTTAAAGGTCATTATTAATTTCGTCTTGCTGAACTCGTCATAGAGCAGGACAATTTGGATTCTGGAAAGCCGTTCCACGTGAGATTGCACAAAATCTGTCAAATAAATTCCTTGATTTGGCGCGGGTACTTTTCTTTGCTTTCTAAAACGGAAGACGTGTAAATAACGCAGAAAAAGATTCGACATGAAAATTTTCCGAGTGCTGATAATGGTTGGTATGTTAAAGCACGCTAGCCCCCACCTAAAACGACAGGAAGCTCCATAGACCTACCAAAAGAGCGACTGAGCAAGATTAATGCCAAAGGTCTAATGAGATGCCTTTAACTGAAACGCTGAAGTCAGAAGTGTCGACACTTACCGAGTCCTGGAAGGCAGGTCTGACAGAGCAGAAAGGAATTTAGAATCAAAAGAATGGCCAGAGTCGTACGAATGGCGAGTGTCCTAACAAGAAAATAACTTACCTACTAGATGTGTGAGACTGCAGAAATGTTATATGGCTGAATGTCAATCCCTGATTGGTCAAAAGTACTTTGCACTCTATATTTTCCTATCGCCAATGACAGAATGCTTTACAGGCCTCAAAACACAAGTCCCTTTACATTTAATCATCTGAAGCGGTTCGTTAAATTCTGCCTGGTTTTCTTGGGTACAGTAAAGTGTGGCGATAAATTCCGTCAACGGAACACAGCGTAAGGGCGCTATACCGGCGTGTTGAGAAGCACTGCAGTCAAATGGAAGACAAGGTTGCTGAATTACAATATCTTCGACGGGTAATGAGAGCCAATGGCTACCCGCGCAACTTTGTCAACCAGTGCATACGAAAAGGACACCAGAGACCAAATCCAACTAGCCCCAAATTTTGGCGGGCTCTTTCGTACGTGAAGAACGTCTCGGAAGCCGTCAGTCGTCTTCTCACTCCACTTGGAGTTGGGGTTGCACACAGGACGGAAGCAACCAATAGACGCCAAGTAATGTACCCTCTTCCACGGCGAGTCGGGCCAGGCCCAAGGCTTCAGAGGAACCTTCGGTAAGGTCTTCTGTGTTATTTGGCACACGTGACATGACTTCACCACGTTCTCTTTACCTGCGTCAGTTTAGGGCCATCAAGCATAACTGCGGACGAGAGCTTTCATTCTAACTGTACCAGGATGAGCATTATGCAGGTCTCTGATGATGGCCCGTCGGCCTTGCGGTGGCACAACCACACGATTGCTCCATAGTATGCATCCGTCTTGTAGACTTAACTCGTTCTGACGGCTGAAGAATGGTTGAAAATCAGAGGAGGTAGAGGACGACCAGCCAGACTGCAAGGCTTTTTTTACCCGACTTAGGAGAGGGTCTCTCGATGTCCACTGTCGAATTTGTTGACAGGTTACAGGCGCGTTGACTAGATTCTGCAAAAGATTCAAGGTCTCAAAAACAGGTGCCCCGTTAATGCCATCGTCCACGATAGGAAGCCTACTCAAGGAGTCAGCCGCTACGTTTGCACTACCTGTAGCGTATTTCATTGCATACGTGTAAGCAGATAAAGTGAGTGCCCATCGTTGCATTCTTGGCGAGGACATCTGTTTTATCCCTCGTTTTTCTCCCAGCAAACCTAAGAGGGGTTTGTGATCAGTGTGTATTTCAAAGTGTCTGCCAAAAAGATACAAGTGGAACCGATGTAGGCCAAACATTATTGCTAAGGCCTCTTTGTCTAGGTGCGAATAGTTGGTTTCCGCCTGTGACATGGTTCTTGATGCAAAAGCAATCGGCATCGCCGAACCCGAAGGCATGCGATGCATGAGAACCGCACCTACGCCGTACGGAGACGCATCACATTTCAGTATGATAGGCTTTTCGGGGCCATAGTGAACTAAGACAGATGAGGAGGTAAGAGCCGCCTTTGCCTGTTCGAAAGCACTTTGTTAGACCTCCGACCAGTGCCAGCCACAATTCTTTTCAAGAAGTCGATAAAGAGGCTTGAGAATTGTAGCCGATTGATTCATAAAGCGACTAAAGTGGGTGACCAACCCCAGGAATGAACGCAATTGACTAGTATTGTTTGGGCGCGGCGCCGTCTTCAAGGCATTGAGCTTATGTTCGAGTGGATGGAGGCCAGTTCTATCCACCCTGAAGCCCAGGTATTCTACCGAGTCGGCAAGGAAAGTGCACTTATCTTTCCTGAATTTAAAACCGGCGTCCTCTAAACGTCCTAACACAATGTTTAGAGTATCTAGATGACTATGTTCAGATGGGCCGGTAACTAATATATCGTCAAGATATGCGCAAACGTGAGGTATATCCTTCACGAGATTATCAATCAAGCAATGAAAAAGACCGGGAGCCGAACTTACTCCAAATGGTAGTCTGTTATATCGAAATAAAGCCCGATGCGTATTGATGGTGGTGGCGTCTCGGGATTCAGTATCTACATCGACTTGGTTGTAGGCATGCTTTAGGTCCAAAGTTGTAAATTGATGACCACCCGAGAGAGATGCGTACAGATCCTCGATGCGCGGGAGAGGGTCAGGGTTCAGTTTAGTTGTTGAGTTGATTGTCAGCTTGTAATCGCCACAGATACGCACAGAACCATCGGTTTTAAGAACAGGAACTATTGGGGCTGCCCATTCCGAATATTGCACGGGCTCAATAATATCCGCTTTCTGTAGGCGATCCAGCTCTTCTTCGACCTTCGGTGCGACTGCATTGGGGACTGTACGAGCTTTGAAGAACCGGGGCCGAAAATCTGACTGAAACTGGAACTTAAAAGGGTGGACCGCAGTAGCGGGTAGCAGAATTGTCACGAAATAGATCCTAATGATTTAGCAAAATTGAATCCAAGGCCGGATTTACACCAATCTGATGTACAAAGGATCAACGGAAGGATCATAGAAGGCACACATTTAATCTAATTCCGTCCAAGGAGATTTGGTTGCTGGCTTCCTCTCACCGCATGAACCGGCAAGTAATGAAGTTCTCCATCATGCTCGACTTCGGCTGCAAAGACCCCTAGAATCTCTACGTTATGTCCAGTGTAACTACGGAATGTTGAGCTGGCCGGAAGGAAGGAGGGTAATTTCTCAAGGGAGGCCTCATTGATGAGAGTAACCGCTGAGCCAGTGTCGATTTCAAACTTCACAGGATGGTGATCAACCGGAAGCGTGATGGTGTAGGGCGATTGGAGTGGCGCGTTGGCCGAAAACATTCGGAGCATCGCCTCGCCATCCCCAGCTGGATTAGGGTAGGTTGCATGCGTGTTAGTATTCGCTCGTCTTTTGGAGAAACACACTCGTTCGATGTGGCCGACTTTCTTGCAAAACTGGCAAACCGTCTTCTGGTGTTTACAGTCTGACCACCGGATATGATGCTGACCACAAGGGAAGCAGGATGGTAGTTGTTTTGAGGGAGCAGAGGGTCGCTGTCTGGGTAAAGACACAGCAGTGTTGACTAGGGAGACAGCTATTTCTAAATCCAAGGGCGCTATCACTCCATCGCTTGACTGAGTCAGCTGCTGAAGGCTTTTCCGCACGCGCTCCTGATGACTGGTGATATCAAAGGCTTTCTCCCATGACAAATCCTTCTTCTCTGATAAAAGAATTTCCCGAGCTTTTTCATCGGGCAGACCGACGATCAACTGCTGAGCGAGCACTGCGTGCTCGAAGTTGTCTGCCTTGATCTCTTTATACCCACAGTCCTGGATGGCGAGAGTCAGATTAGTAATAAAATCACTGACACATTGATTGGATTCTTGACGCATTTGACAAAACCGATAGCGACTGAGAAAGACGTTGTCTTTTCCTCTCCACGCTGACTCGAGTTTTGTTTAGATAGTTGACAGACGTTAGGGAAGGTGTTGAGGCATTCACCCATGGTTCACTCTATTGGGAAGGTGCTGAATCCTTGATATTCAACATGACCGAAAACGCACAAGCAGCTTTAAATATAAATGTGATCCAGCGCCAGGCTACTTTATCCGATTTACTTAATGAAATTTATTTGATACTATGCTCCAGATAATCACTACTGTAAATGGATTAAATTTATTTTTTATGAGTACTCTCCAGAAAGTATCATTGAACGCTGATGTACATCGAACCTTTGGTCACTTTCATCCAGCTTAGCCAAGGTTATACCCCATTGCTTATTAGTAAATATATGTTCCCACCTTAAAATATAAATGAGCCCCAGCGCCAGGCTACTTTACCCGGTTTACTCACTGACTGGTTTGTTCACTAAATGGTCGCATTCTGCTATCTCTACTATGCTGGGTGAGAAGGCAAACTGTCCCTCGTAGTTGGTCACTAATCTCCTCCAGTGCATAAAGTACCCATGCAGCAAGGCAAATATCGAGTTGAATTCAAATTATAGTTGTTGTCATCACCAAGCAATTCAGTGAGGATAATCCGGTGCGTAGAAGTAACAGGTCGATTTATTCCTGACGTTAACCAACTTCAGTCATTTTCCAACTATCATCGACGTTCAGAGCAGTGCGCTACGGACGGGTCTTGAGGGAGGTGATATGGTGCCGTTGCGTGCAACTGGTTTTTAAATATCACGCTTCCATAAAGCGTACAGCGCTATCTACTCCTTCAAAGCCTCAGCAAATGTCAGCTTCGTGGAATTAGCACAAGAAGGAAACGAACGCCTCGGTCTGGTTGTCAAATCGCTTAGACAATCCAATAAAGCATAGTAAAATTGATCAGAAGAAGAATCGATCGCTGGAACAAGGGCTTTGTTCGCCTGACGTTTCGCATTCTTGCTTGAACCCCTCATCAGAGACAATAGGAGAAAATGGTGACTCGTGCAATGGAAATTGCTGTATTTTTAGGCTATAGTTGTTATGCTACCGCATTCCTATAGCAATTAACAGCGTTCCGCTTCATTTTTCCCCCATCATCATCATCATCATCATCATCATCATCATCATCATCCCCTTTATACTCGCATTCTTAGATGAAAAGCGGTTAAATGTGGCATTTTCAAACACTTGAATCCAATGCTAAGACGACCTACGCAATCACTTCAACATGGAAATGAACCTAAAGGGCTATTGAAAATTAACTGCGGACAACATACCCCTCAGGCGGACCCATGTGACGGGTGAACTTTCTGACTGTCTTCGGTATTCGGCCATCTTCTCAAATATAGGTCCGTCGTATAACACTGGCAGAAGTTAACTAACTTCGGGCAATTTTTGACTTTTAGGAAAGTCTCAAACTAATTGCAAGTACGGACAACGTTATTGCAAAGACAGCCACAGCAGATGTCTTTATTTCCTGAAACAACCAGTACTTTGGGCAATATTTACGAAAAGGTTTAACAATCATGCAAATGCCAGATGTCATAAAATGCGCTATTTCAGGTCCACCACTGTCCCCTGTAAACGCCTGACTGCTTTAACTAGGTGGCATGGGCTGCGTAGCAACTGAGATCCTTTTCGGCATCAAAAGTCGCCTTACAGGTCAAATACTATTTTTTTTAGAATTATGTAAACTTCCCCTCACGAAGGCATTGTCTTTTCATAGATAAAACTAACAAACGTGCATTTATAGAGAGGCGCAAGTTGTATCCTAGGTAAATTTGCCGCGTTTATGGTCGAAATGCTCAAAAACAGAAAGGACCTAATGAGTAAAAGATCCTGAGTCAAATGAAATACCATTAAACGAAAAAGTCATCAAAAGCAAATTGGATACTAGATGCCCCTGAACACTGGCGCATATCGCGAGGTGTTAACGAGTGAATGATAAATGTATTTTGAGTAAATGTGGTCGGTGAACAGTGGCATTCTCTCAAAGTCAGCAGGTAACACCATCTACCCTTAAACCTCACTGATGGTGTTGATGCCTGTTGACAGGCCAGGACGAATTTTGTGCGCGTACATACAGTACGTGACCTATCTCATGAAAGCTGGTATCGGAAAACGATGAGAGAATTTCTGGACGCCTTTATTGTTGAACATTTTGTTCGCTCATCCACTTTCTTCAACAAACTGTCATTTTCTTGTGCTTAAATTGTGTTTCCGTAATTATATCTAGTAAAATATCAGTAAATTTTAGCGAACATGGACGTTGGAATATATTTATGCAATTTCTAATGCTAATACACGTCCTAGACTCCGGTTACGCATCTGAGCGACTTTTTCATTGAAAGGATAGTAATTTATCTGCAAGAGTTTTAATAAACGAATTTGGCCGAACACGAAAATTTATTTTATGTCCGATGATAGCCAGGGTGACCACTCTGCTAGGGCAAATGTTATTTTAAGAAAACCTGAGGTTTTATCAATTCGTTGATGTCAAACTAGCAGATCTGTTCGATTTGGTGCTCGTAAGTGCAGTAATAACGCAGTTTCAGCAAGATATCAGTATTTACATGGGGGCTTTGCCGTGCATTCATACTGGAAGAACGGATTCTGAAAGAGAGTAAAAACCGCGGCAATGGCCTCAATATATAGGAAAAGGCGTGTTCTTACGTTTACGGTAAAAAAATATTAGTATTTCTAAGGAAGGTGAAAGAAACGGCCAAAATTGTCAAATTTTTACTTTGATTTGCCGTGAAAAAATGCAAAACACACGGAAATCCGCCAACGGAGTGCAGTAATGAAGCACTTCTTTAAGAGGTAACTTATTAAGGAAAGTTTTCCTATTGATCGAAGACATATTAGTTGCTGACTTTCGTTGTGAACAGACATTTTTCTCAAAAATGAAGTTTGATGTTTGAATAAGTCTTCACATGGACCTAAACGACCATCTTCATGAATAGGAGCGCCCGAACACTCACTAATTCGGTAACGTCTTCAGGAATAATCTTATTTTGAACTTCTTAACTGACAGGTGATTTAGAATCGGTCTTTATAGAACATCGGGTAAAAACACTATAAATCATTAAGTATTTAAGAACACTTCAAGGCCGATCTGTAAGTCAACGTAATCCAGAACGAAGGAATAGTGTAAATTAATTTATCGGAAAAACAATTTCTCTCTATAAACACAAAATGGTATGTTTACGATCACACCTGTCAGCGGTATTTAAATTTATTAGGCATCGCCTGGCCTCATGGCATGTCGCTTTACGAAAACCCTTGTTCCTACGACGTCCCCATCGGTGAAACCAAGCAAAATCCAGCTTCTTTTGTTAAACTCCATCTCATTTACATCAACCAAATAAAATCACAAAAAACAATTGAAAACCGTTTTGGAATCTACAATTGGAGTGTAGGCAGTTGAAAAACCCTCATTTATGAAATTACACTACTTATTAAGCCATATTTAGATGTAAACTTCCCTAAAACACTGTTATTAGACGTTATTTTATGTCTAAATTCGTAATTGCTACGTTTTTAATATGAGAATACATTCTATACATCTAAAAATGAACTTTACTTAATTAGAGTCATTTCTGACGTTTTCGGGATATTGCGCTTTTCGAAATACATCGGCATTTCTAAACAACACAACACTGCCTTTAGTGTTTCTTTTATGTTTTTTATTCTTTCAAGCTTGCACTTAATTACCATACACAGTTGACTTATGAAATGGGGTCGGTTTGCGAGTTATTGACAATCAGTCGTGAATTCTGACACATTTCATGAGTTAGGTCACCAACTGTACCTCCCCCGCCCCCGAGACAGCAGGCTGCTCTTCGTTGGAGTGACTTGAGCGCAGCGTTACCTGGAGACTGAAGTCGTCATTTATCGGCTTTTTTGAGATTTAGTCAATGTTCCCTTCGAAGGTCCTGAAAGCCGTAAATAAAAGCCCATGATGTTCACAAAAATCAGCAGTTTACTTGGTAGGATGCGAAATACAGTATAAGCGGATACCTGCCCCTGCAAGCGACTAAATGCCGCGTTGGTTTTCAACCTGTCAGGGAGTCAAGCCCGTGCTGAATGCCCCTGTCGCGGCGGCCTCAGCCATAGACACGTAGAAAGTCTGCGCATTAGACGGACACAGGCGTAGAAAGTTAAACACCTGGCAATACGCGAGTAAGACGCACAAGCCAAAAAAGCACCTGCTACATATGCTAGGATTAGGAGCCAAAGAGCTAGTTCATCGTGAGAGGCGAAAGCATAAACGGAGACTGCACCAAATTTTTTGACGCCGTAGGACCAATCAGGGACTGACAGTCAGCTCTACTCAAATCCAGACTTCTCAAGTCAACATTAGACAGTTGGTCATGTGGCAGAGCACTCATCATGTACACGGACCTAGCTCTGCTCCTATTTCTCCATTTTCCTCTTCTCTGCCATACCTGCTATACGCGCCCTTCCGGTACGTGTCGACACCCCTTCCGAGAAACTCCAGTCAAATGTAGTCATTCAGACCACTTTTTGTTTATCGGCTTCAATAAGTACTATCCATATGTCTTGTTAATTGTCAAGCGCTGTCCATTCTTAGCCATCTTTCACAATAGTGCTTTTTTGCATTTCATAACGCACAAACAAAGAAAAGTGCCCTCGCTACAATGGTGGAATTTACTTGACAGACTTTGTGCAACTTAATGTGGAGCGTCTTACGGGAATCACGATTACTGTTCCCTATGACGGTTTAAGCAAAACAGTCTTCTCAATAACTTTGGAGACTCCGGGGTTCAGCGAAGACTGCATATTCAAGGAAGCATTCCGCGAAGGTGCATTTGTCCAGTTTTCTTGCAAAATCACTTTTCCTGCATTTTACAAGAAAGGTAATCAGGCGCAACCTGGAGGTCCTGAGGTTATCTTTAACTCAGATCGAGCAAGTTTGGAGGCACTGAGGCTCGAAC